GCGTTCTCCTCCCACAGTGAACAGGAAGATGCCGAGGGTGTGTGCGGGGCGCCGTTGGACATCAGCGGGACACCTGAGATCGGTGACCGCCTTTCACAAGGTGAGCGTGGAGTGTGAGTTTACTGAACCTAGACCCCCCGATGTGGGCGGAGCTTCTGTTCATGTACGTCTAACACACATCGCATAAAAGCGTTTGACCATCTGCGCTCGTTTCTGCACATCAGTGTGTTATGGCGGGATCGGCGGCTCCTCTCCTCTCATGGATCCTCTCCCGCCCGAGCTGCCACCTCGAGCGCCTCTCGATGAACCAGATGGCCGGATTCACGGAGGGGGCGGGGCTAGTCTGGGCACGCCGTTTGCTGAGACGCCAGACGCCACAGGTGAGCCTGACCCAGAGATTTGTTTTATTTTTTCAAAAATATTTCTGACGCCTGAAGAACTCTGATGCATCTGAACACGTGTGATCCACGTCCAGCTGTAGCCTCTGTTTCAGGTGGCGTGCTGTACGTGTGTCACGTGGTCACGTGTGCAACATGTAATGATGTCACACATACATCAGGATACCTGCACAAACAGTTGAATCAGCTTTGCTAAATGTGGAGTAGATTCTTGTCTCTGTAGAGGTTTGTTGGGTGATGGCGGTGTATCGATGCTGTGATGTCACAGCGTGATGATGTTTACACAAACCCTTCCTCCACCCAGGGTCTTTCCTGTTCTCTGACGTGACGCCGGTTGAGGCGGTGGAGCACCCGCTCAGCGAGTGTCAGTGGTTCCACGGCACGCTGTCCCGCCTCAAAGCCGCTCAGCTGGTGCTGGCTGGAGGCCCGGCGAGCCACGGCGTCTTTCTGGTCCGTCAAAGCGAGACGCGGCGCGGAGAATACGTCCTCACCTTCAACTTCCAGGGAAAAGCCAAGGTGAGGCGAGAGCATCCCGGCAGATGTTAGTCTGGATCTCTTATCCGTGCTGTTTGACGAGCTGGTTCACGTTTGTGTGGCGTGATGATGCGTACGCTTTAAACGTGTCGTTGCCTTCTTCCCCGCAGCACCTCCGCCTCTCGCTGAATGAGGACGGTCAGTGTCGAGTGCAGCACCTGTGGTTCCAGTCCATCTTCGACATGCTCGAGCACTTCCGCGTGCACCCGATCCCCCTGGAGTCCGGCGGCGCCTCCGACGTCACGCTCATCAGCTTCGTGGGCGCTACCGCCATACGGCAGCCAGGTACGAGTGAGAACGCCAGGTGTTCCCGGCGACCAATGACAAATCAGACGAGACTTAAATGAGTTTGAATCTTTGATCATCTAACAACTTATGACATCACTGATACTGTGTCACCATTTCCAGAAATGATTATTCGTTGGAATACTGGCGTTCCTGTTCTTGGAATTTCCATTTAAAATTAAACTGGATGAGAAGTGAATTTAAAGGAGCTCTGAGGAGGCGGCGAGGGGTTGCAAAGCAACTTGCAGATGTGCAGCTGCTGGGAAAAGTAGGCGCTGTCTCCCGTGGTCGCGTAGCAACCGTGTTAAGTTGCACTGAGTTGAAACTGCTCAGTCAGGTGTGCCGACACCTGCAGACCTGCCATCTGCCCGCGTCACGTTAGTAACACGTCATGTGTTCCCTCCTTCCTGCAGACTACTTCCTGTTCTGTTCATGTGTAAACATCTTCATGTCTGCTGGGATATTTATTATACCAACGTTCATGTCCGGCCAGTAAAGTCTCCAGATGAAATATTTTAAAAGTTGCTGGTTAATTGCTAAATTTAAAACGTCCTGACAGCTGTGACCTCGCTGTGACCTCGCTGTGACCTCAGCCTGGCAGCAGGAAGTGTCACCTGCTGAAAATAAGATGCTGGAGTTTTATTCTCAGCTAAAAAAGCTTTAACGACAGCACGAGTGTGACGGGGAAACGGCGACCGATCCAGAATCAGAGCCTGAAAACATTGTTTGGGTGGTTTGATCAAACGGGAGTGCCGTCACACCTGTGAGGAGAAGCTCCGCCCACCTCCACCCCTGCTCCATCTGTCCTGTGTTACTGCACCCATCGCTGTTCTGACCTCTCTGTTGTTGTCTTGTATCCGTTGGCTCGCCCCTTGCAGGCCGGGACAGGGCGGGCAGTCGGCCTACAGCCTGTGATGTCATCACCACGCGCCATCCTGACTCTCCATCAACCCCCATCTCTGACTGTGTGTAAGTGAGACCGGACTCGGCTGAGCGAGCGAGCGAGGAAGTGAATGAACGAATGATGTGTTTGGGTTTTAGTTTGGCTCTGGTCATGTGACACTCCACAGCCAATCAGGAGAGAGTTCATTTTTAATTTCCTGTTTACTTTAAAGGTGGCTGTACTGGGGGAGGGGAGGGGGGATTTTTAGGATAACTGCCCAAAATTTAAAAGAAAACTTTGAATATTTTTGTGGGAAAAAC